ACAATGGCTGTTTTCCATTTCAAATGGCAAGCTTCCAATCACTACACAGTTCTAGGTTGCTTCTCTTTTGTGTGCCAAGAATAATTTTGGAGACAACAAACGTATTAGTTCTTATTAGCAATTCCCAAACAAGAAGTGTGCATAACAGCTGAACTGATGTAAGCTGTGTCCTCAAATCTGAAAACAAGGACTGGACCAATAAGGCTGGCAATGAATATTTCCTCCCTTTTTTTTTTCTTCTTTTTTTTAATTTTTTTCATGTAAAGCTTCCTCCCCAAGCTCCTCAGGGCATTTGCGTCTTGGCAGGCTGTCATGTACACATACATACATGCATACTAGTACATGTATGTGCTACTGAAATAAGAGCTTTGTCATCTTCTTCATTGACAACTCTATTCTAGACACATTAAGTTAGCTTTCTCTAACCAAGGGAGACTGAGTTAGAATATAAGTTTTCAATAAAAACTGAAAATATCAGGAGACACTGCCTGCACAAGAACTTGGGAAATGAGAAAGCCTCCCTGGCAGTTCTCAGGGCAAGGAGGTCTGACCGTCTGTAACAGCAGATTGGGTGGGCAATCCTGAAGGACTGCTTCCGATTCTGCAACCCGCTCACGAGGCCTTCGGGAGCCTGTTCTCATTCATAACTTTTTGCCATGGTTGCAGTTAAGTAATTGTACAATTACTGGGTTCATACCTACAAGTTCTTAGAAGGCAGGGACTGTGTCTGGCTTTTTTCCCTCTGAAAACTCAGCCCCTACTATAGTGTCTTGACATGGAAGATATTTGGTAAATATTAGATGAATGGATAATATACCACCCAAGGGCCTATGTCTTTCACTTTTGAACCACTGATGCCTAGCAGAGTGCCTGGCATAGCAGGAAGTTAGGCATCAGCTGAGGGAGGAAGGAAAGAAGGAAGGAAAGAAGGAAGGAAGGAAGGAAGGAAGGAAGGAAGGAAGGAAGGAAGGAAGGAAGGAAGGAAGGGTCATCACCATCCTATGAACTTAGTGTGATTGAACTTGCGGTTTTCTGATTGATATCATCAAAGGGAGAATCTCCTTCTGTTGGCAAAGATACGAAAAATAAACAGAATGCCATCTAATTTAATTTGAGTTGCAAAGGTAGTGACTAACATTTCTGTTTTGGGGTGGGAGGAGGATGCTCTGCGAGCTGCCGGCTGTGGTTTCAGTTACTTTAGTGACTGTTACAGTCTCATGAGAATGATCTCCTCTTAATAAGGACAGTTACTTAGATTTATTACTCCTTTGTGGTCTTGTTAAAGATCTAAGAAGGATCTTATTTAAATGAAAAGAATAATAGGAGCTTTTTAACAGAGAGCAAGGTTTAATTAAAACTTGAGCATCAGATTGATGCCTCTGTGGTTGGATAGAAAAACTGGGTTGAAAAAAGAAAAAGGAGTAAATAAACAATGGCACCTATTTTACCTACTCTTGGGGGTTGGGGGGGAAGACCATTTTGAATGGAAAGCCTCAAAAGGCCGTGTGTATTTGGGTTACACAGGACATCCCGTTTCTGAGGGTGGCCTTTTGGAATCAGTCCTCCTTCTTCGTTTAATGAAATGCGATAATGAGCTCCATTACCTGCTGGGGTGCCCGATCCAAGTGCCAGAGCTGGGATGACCGATGGAACCACTGCGATAATACGCCGTGGTATTTACAAAGTACTTTGTAAGGTTCCCAGCGAGGAACCGGGCCCGAGCGCTCCCAAAGAAATGCATTGTCCCGGAGAGCCCATCCCAGGAGCAGGAGCTCAGCGTTCTTCCTTGAGGAACAGTAGCAAGAGCTGTTTGGAAACTCCAAAAGCTCTGGCCCTGGGGAAATGTCATAAAAAAACCCCTCATGTTCTATGAACCCCCCCAAACAAAAATATAGAATGAACCAAGACAAGTGAGAGCCCGTCAGATGCGGGGCCCCGCAGCAGACAGACGGCCTGTAGGCCGCCTGACACAGCTGATGTTTCCGTGTTGGCTGGTGCATATAAATGCAGCTGTCTGCTGGTAGCAGCATTATTCTGCTCTAAATAAATAACCAACAGCAGTCATTTAGATGCATTTTGGGTGACGAAGGCACATGGGATCTCATGTCATCGAAGGCAGAGCATTTCCATGTTAAATTATATTATTGAGAACAACGAAGGAGTAAGCACAGGGTGCGGTGGGGGAGGGGTTACTTCGCGGCTTCCGGGGTTTGTTCTGATTTTATGTCACCCTGGTGGTCAACAAATGTCATGCCAAGAACAGATGAGCACTAAATGAATCTCTTCTTGTGATGATTATAACAAGACTGTAAAATGGAAAACAGTAAATATAACTCATCCTTATTAAGACTCTCCGGTATTTGTTTCCAGCCTGAGCTCCTAACAAGAGAGTAAACAATACGTGGTCTCTTGTGATTGCTAATTAAAATGCAATAAATTATGGAATCAATTTAAATTCTGGATCAGCTCTACAGTGGGTTCAACAACCTCCTAAATTTTATTTTCCTCTTGGGGTCCCTTTTCCAGAACCTTCAGGTAGGGGTGTCTTTGTGTACATGGCCTCCTTTTGTTTGATTTTTAATTGCTCTGGTGGCTTCTTTTGGGAAATACGGTTAAATAGCAGGGAAATTCTAGGGTCTTGGTGTATGTTTTCCCTGCCTCTGAGTTCCCACCCTGCTTCTGGCTTGTTGTTTGGACCAGGATAAGATCTGGGGTTGCTGTTCAAAGACATTCAATGGGAGTGGACGTGGCAAGGCACCTGGCACAGCCAAATAGCTCTGGTTCCCCACAGTTTTGTCTGCGTCCAGCAAGAATAATGGGGTCTAAGTGGAAAGTATCCTTTATGTTCCTAAGGCATAAAGACAAAGTGTTTGTCAGTGAGGCCCAACAGGAGAGAGACTATTGCCTCTTGAGAGAAGAATATACAGATATAGGTATAGAGATGTAGGTAGAGTTATAGGTATAGTACAGTTATATAGATGTATCCTAATGGAGAAGTATTTCCACATTAAATTTTATTATTGAAAATAATGAAGGAGTGAGGACATATAAGTTATATATGTATAATATACCTATACCTATATCTATACATTCTTCTCCATATCTACCTATAGTTATATAGATAGTTATATATGATACTAGAGGCCCAGTGTATACAATCTGTGCACTGGACAGGGGAGGGGTGTTCCTCACTGGGCCTGTGCCCTCTTGCAGCCTGGGACCCCTCGGAGGATGTCCAGGACTTCTCACTCCTTACTGCCTGCCTGTAGCTTCTGGCTGAGCAGCGCTCCCCTGGTGGGACTGCACTGACCACCAGGGGGCAGCTCTTGCATTGAGCATCTGGCCCCTGGTGGTCAGTGTGCATCATAGCAACTGGTTGTTCCGCCGGTCTTTCCACCGTTTGGTTGATTTGCATATTAGGGTTTTATTATATAGGATATAGTTATAACATAATATATAATTATGTTACTGTATATTGTAATATATAATGATTAGCAATATTTACTAATGTTAACATATATTATATAATATATAACTATAGCTATTTATACCTATATTTACATCTACCGTGTTTCCCCGAAAAATAAAACATCCTCCGAAAATAAGACCTACTTACAGGTTTCCTTCTGAGTGAAATATAAGGCAGCCCCCTGAAAATAAGGCCCCCCCTCTAGGCTAAACATGAGAGATTTGGTCCACTGATTCTGAAAGAAATGGAGTCACAAGAAATTCACCAGGAAATTCAGGAATTGGATTGTTATGATGATGTTCCAGAAGATGATGACATGATTGTCACTGACTAAATGAGTAAGTTCTTGATACTGTAGGATTCACAGTTTGTCTGGTTTGTGTTGACAACTACCATACTACTGTACCATATACAGGTAATAAATTTCCTTTATTTTCATTTAACAATAAATGTGTACCGTATCCTTCTTCATGGAAAAATAAGACATCCCCTGAAAATAAGACCTAGTGCATCTTTGGGAACAAAAAATTAATATAAGACACTGTCTTATTTTCAGGGAAACAGGGTGCATATGTACCGGTACTTTGGTTTTGAGGGCATATTAAATGTAGGAAAGTCTGCAAGAAAGAAAATATTCTGAGGGCGATCCCTCTGGGAAAAGCCCGTTGCTTTGACCAGTGTGGCAGTGGCTCTTTCAAACTGCCCGGGAGAAGACAGGAACAACTAACCCAGGCGCTGGGCAGGGCTGCCCTCCAAAGGCTTTGCTGCTGCTGCTGATTGGCATCGGTGAGAGGCAGGTGAGGTGTGGAGGGGAGTGTGGGTGTGTCCCAGCCAGAGTACAGCTTACCCAGCACTGCCCTCTGAGGGGAGCCTGAAATGCAGTTCCGGGGAATAGGACGATTTATGTCAGAGGAGATGCACAAGCCCAGCCTGCTCGTTCCTTGTGTAGGACATGCCCGGTTCTTTTCTGCCTCCTTCAGAAAACACCAGCAGAGCCCTAACCAGTTTGGCTCAGTGGATAGAGCTTTGGCCTGCAGACTGACAGGTCCCAGGTTCAATTCTGGCACATCCCCAGTAGGGAGTGTGCAGGAGGCAGCTGATGGATGTTTCTCTCTCACCGATGTTTCTAACTCTCTATCCTCTCCCTTTCCTCTATGTAAAAAAATCAATAAAATATATTTAAAACAAAAACAAAAACAAAACAAAACATCAGCAGGTTCATCTCTTGCTACCCAAGAAGCAAGCTTGGCATAGCAGCAGACAAGCCACCTTCCTAGCTGTTATTCAGCTGTAACTCAGGAGAATTAACTTCTATCCCATTCAGTACTTAATAATCTCTTGTTGGTTGGTTGAGAGGCAAAGGACATTTTCACCTTACAGATGTGCCATATGATCTCTTTAAAAGTCACCAGGATGTAGGGACATAAATATGGACTTTAGAGTAACGTAAGAGTTGGGCTTAAACCTCTATTTTGTCTCTTATTAACTGCATATTCTTCAGCAAGTTGTTTCACTTATATATAAAACTAGAGGCCTGGTGCATGAAAATTCATGCACTAGGGTGGGGGGTCCCCTCAGCCCAGCCTGCCCCCTCCCATAGTCCAGGATTCCTCAGGGGCGGACGGTGACCCGGCAATCAGGGAAAGGCGATGCCCCATCACACCTCTGCTGCTGCCACTGCCGGCAGCACAAGCCTTGGAAGGCGCTAGTGACCAGAGCCTCAGGCTGGGCAGCCACCACATGAGGCTTGCCTGCATCTTGGGCCAGTTCTGGGTGACTGGGGGGCTGAGGGGACTGGGGGATTCTAGAGGCAGGCGCGCAGAGCGGCCACGCACCTGCCTCCCTGGCAGACTGAGGGGACTGGGCGCTGCCATCTTTGAGGGTGTCGCAGTCAATTAGCAATTCCCTCCTTATTGGCTGTGGGTGCTGCCATATTTCTGAGGGTGTGACAGTCAATTAGCATATTCCCTCTTTATTAGATAGGATGAGCTTAATAGTGGCTACCTAATGGGACTATTATAGAGATTAAACAAGCTCTTGTACATAAAATGCTTGCAACATTTAGTAGACAATAAACGTTAGTTAAACAATTTAAACTTTTTAAATCTCTATTTTGTTAATTTTTTTAATATTCATTTTCTTTTTATATATTTAAAAACCTATAATTTTAACCTGCATGCCTATTCCTCAGTTTATTTTCTTAAAAGAAGAGCATAACGATTTAAACAGCAAATGATGGTTTGTCTTTTCTGGAACACACACACACACACACACACACACCACATGTGTGCATACACACACAGAGGCAGATAGGTGACTTTTCAAAGTGCCTTCAATGTTGGGTTGTCATAGTAATTAAGAAGGGGACCTGGCTCATGTGAGAAAACACTGAAGCAGTTAATGCGCGGTGCATCATGGGAGATGTAGTCTTCCCTGATCTTTAAAAAACATGCTCTGAACTGAAGAGCCCAGAAGAAGTGGGATGTAGGCCCAACTGCCTGCTGGTGAGGACGACCAAATTCTGTGCACTTATGTTGGAAGGAAATTTAAAAACCAGAACCCAGCAATCGCTTGCTTTCATCCAACTCGATGGCAGCTGCTAATGAACATTTACTGGCGATTAGTTTCACTCTGCCCTGGAACCTCCGGCAGGAAAACTGCTGGCAGAGCTGCAGCCAATAACTAGAAAAGACCGCGTCTCTGGAGAGAATAACCAGACCACAACCGGGGTTTCTTCTCTCTGCCCCAATTACCCTTATATTTTTATCTGACAGCGCCCCGTGCAGTGAGCCTTTCTGTTAGTGCTCGTTCGTAAATGGGGAGTGAGTCAAACACCCTTTCCCATTTCTCTCTTCTGCCGGGTGACTTTTTGCATTTGGTATTGCTCAAAGACAGGCGGGGTTCTGGAGGAGTTCAACCAAAGGACTTGGATGCATGCATATAAGCACCACCAATGGACACAAGACACTGAGGGTGTGGAGTGAGGGCACGTGACAGGAGTTAGGGGAAACTGGGGTAAGGTCAATGGGGGGGAAAAAGGAGATATATGTACTACTACATGTAATTCTTTAAACAATAAAATTTTTTAAAATGAGAAAATAACCTGAGGAATAGGCATGAGAGCAGGTTAAAATGACAGGTTTTTAAATATATAAAAAGAAAATGGGTATAACAAAAGTTAATAAGCTGGTCAGGAAGAGGGCTGGAGAAAGGCTGGGGAGAGACCACTGTCCCCAGGTAGAAGGTCCCCAGAAAAGTTGTGTTGGAAAATTAAAGGCCTAGGAGAGCACAAGAGAACCCTTTTATCTCAGAAGGCTACCAATCTTACAGTCAAAGGAGGAATTCTTTCTTTTCTTTTTTTTAAAATATATTTTATTGATTTTTTACAGAGAGGAAGGGAGAAAGATAGAGAGCTAGAAACGTTGATGAGAGAGAAACATCAACCACTGCCTCTTGCACACCCCCTGCTGGGGAAGTGCCCGCAACCAATGTACATGCCCTTGACCGGAATCGAACCCGGGACCTTTCAGTCCGCAGACCGATGCTCTACCACTGAGCCAAACCGGTTTCGGCCAAAGGAGGAATTCTTTTAAAGCAGCCAACAAAGAAGAAAGACTGCTGGCAGGTTCTTTTTAAAACTTCAAAATAAGGAATGCAAAACCATGGCTTTTAAATTTTTTATTTTATTTATTATTTTATTTTACTTTGTTTTATTAAATTTCTTGGCGTGACACTGCTTAATAAGATTATATGTTTCAAGTGTCAATTCCATGTACCATCGTCTGCATATGGCATTGTATATTCACCACCCAAAGTCACGTCTCCTTCTATCACCAGGTATTTGACCCCCTTTACTCTCTTCAACCTCCCCCTTTCTCCCTCCCCCTTCCCCTCTGTAACCACCACACTAAAGCACCAAAGTCCGGCTTCAGGTGTGACTGGTTAAGGGGCGGATACAAGGGAAAGGAAATAGAAATAAAGACCGTGGGGAAGTGGGATGGTTTTAACAGGGGTGTCGAACTCAATCAGAGAAGGGGCCAAAATCTAAAATCCAGCCTAAATCGCGGGCCGAATGGTTTACTGAACAGTCATAAACTGACAATGTTAACCAGAAATGTGAATTTAAAATGAGTGGAACAATCTTTTCCTTAACAGTGCTGTTAACCAACTCACATGCTATCAAGCAAAACAGTAATATTGGTATCAAGCAAAACAGTAATATTGGAATGTACCTAAAATGCTCATTGTTTTGTTTTCTGGCTAGATGTCTGACACCGTTTTCCCCGGATCAATGAGTCAATGTTCGGTTTTATTTCTTGGGCTGTAGCAACCCGCAAAACAGCATGGAGGTTGTCATCGGTAATGCGTGATCTGTGCTTGTTTTTGTTCAGATTCATTATTGAAAACATCTGTTCACAAAGATAGGTGCTCCCGAACATGGAGAGAATACGGGCAGCATGAAGTCGGAGCTCTGGCATTGAGTCAGGGGGCAGTAGAGGGTAGAAGTCCTCAATTTCAACATCCTGAAACCTTGATTTCAGGCCACTGTCAGACTGAAGCTCGATTATCTCCATCTGAAGGTGATGGGGCACATTGTTGACATCAACTGTAAAAGGATTGGCAAAGATGTCAAAGCCTGGGTGCTGTGTTCTAAAGTCAGAGAAGCGCCGCTCAAATTCACTTAGTAAACGGCTAACTTTGGTAGCCAGCCGACTGCAAGGAAAAGTACCAGAAATAGTGGTTGAGATACTCAAACAAACGGGAAAGTGGGCAAGATTGTCCTGTTCCAGTTGGGACTTCCATAGTTGAAGTTTACGCTGGAATGCTGTGATCATGTCAGACATCTTTGTGATGACTTGTTTGCGTCCCTGCAGCTTCAGATTCAGTTGGGCGAGATGCTCACATATGTCACACATCATAGCAAAATCACATAGCCAGGCGGGATCCGACAGTTCAGGCAAGGGCTTTCCTTTACTTTCCATGAAAAGAGCAATTTGTTCTCTGAGCTCAAAAAATCTTTTGAGGACTGCGCTCTTGCTCAGCCATCTTACTTCTGTGTGGTATGGCACGTCTCCATGCTCTGCACCCACCTCCTGTAAAAACTGTTGGAACTGGCGATGATTCAGGCCACGTGCCCGTATAAAGTTAATAGTTTTAATGACTGTGGTCATTATGTCATTCATGTCCAGAACTTTTCCACACATAGCCTCTTGGTGGATAATGCAATGATAAGTAATCAAGGGTGTGTGGCAGTGACTTTTTTGCATTCTTTCCTTCATTAGTCCAACCAAGCCTTTTTTTTCTCCGCACATTGAAGGTGTGCCATCGGTAGTTAGCCCCACCAACTTTTCCCAGGGTAATTTAAAATTATTTATAGATTTCTCCACAGCCTCAAATATATCTCTACCAGTCGTCGTCCCATGCATGGCAGCTACATCCAAAAGTTCCTCAGTGACAGAGAGGTCGGTCTTCGTAGCACGTATAAAGATGGACAGCTGCGCTGTATCAGTGTTGTCTGTGCTTTCATTGATAGCAAGTGAAAAAGCGAGATAACTGCATGCCAGTTCGGCCAGCTGTGATGATAGATTTCCTGAGAGTTCTTGAACTCTATCTGCAATGGTGTTTCTTGACAAACTGACATTTTGAAAACTCTGTATCTGGTCTGGGCATACTTGCTCACACACTTTTAGCATGCATTGCTTCAAAAAGGCACCCTCTGAAAAACACCTTGAAGTACGGGCAATTTCTTCAGCCACTATAAAGCTTGCTTTCACTGCAGCATCATTTTTCGCTGTAGCCTTTGTAAACATTTGCTGCTGTGATTGTAGTTTGCCTTTTAGTTCTTTAACAATTTTATGCTTTTCTTCCAAAGTATATTTGCCATACTTAACATTATGTTTGGTGTCAAAATGACGACGTATATTGTACTCTTTCATCACCGACACTGTCTCATAACACAATATATACACTGGTTTGCCCTCTCTAAGCACAAACATGTATTCATTTTCCCATTTGTCATTAAATTGTCTGCCTTCACCGTCAACTTTTCTTTTCCTGGACATTTTGGGACCAATATTGGCAGTAAAAGATGTAGTTTATTGGAAATCTGCGTTAGAAGGAAAAAGTTGAAAACTGCACAGGGATAGCTTGATTTGGCAGATGGAGTGGAGAAAAAAAAAGTCAGTCAATAAATGTCTGGCTGGGTACAGATAGCAGATTCTGTTGCGATTTTTATGCCTGCACTTTATGCCAGGAACTGGCAGCTTCTGCTGTGCATTTTTTATGCCCGCACACTCACTCTCTCCTCTGCTCTGCCACCCGCACAACCACATCGGATGCCGGACTATAGGTCACGCCTCCTGAATCTCGCGTGACTTGTTATCTATGCGCATGCGTAATAGATAGCAAGTACGGCAGCTGGCGAGGCGGCCGGCGAGATCACAAGCCTCCTATGTCACCGCGCGTCATTGTGATGGAATGCAGTGGAGTGCAGTGATGACAGCGCGGTGCGGGCCACATTGCAAGGCCTGGCGGGCCGGATTTGGCCCGAGGGCCTTGTGTTTGACATGTGTGGTTTAGGAAGATGAGCTCCGTGTTATGGGCGACCCTCGAATGACGACCACCAGTCATCCAAATTGGAATTTAGGAAGCCTTTATTACAAACTTGAGTCCGGGCTTCCATCTCAACTGACACAGCAGCGAGCAATGAGAGCCCCGACCCACTCTAAGCATGCTACTTTCATCCCCGTCTTAGGGATGCCTGGCAGATTATGATTGGCTAAAAGTTTTAACAAAGAAACGTCAGTTATAAGTTATAGAAAAATTCCACTAGTACAGTAACATTTAAAGTTTATACAACACCTGGGGTGGGGGTTTATTTTCAGCTTAAGCAGTCTCTGTTTCACCTGGTTTGGTCTGTTTGTCCTGCCTTGCGGCTACTGGTAACAGGACGTGCCTACCTGGGGGTTGAGCCTTGCAACAGAACTATTTTATGACTAACAGTTATGCTACATTCTTTGTTGTGGGTCTGGTTGCTCGTTCCTTCTCTGGCCTGGAGTCCTGCCTCCACAGGGTGTTGCTAGCCATCTGGAGCTCTGCCTCCACCGGGTCTTGCCGGCCACAACATCTGTCCAAGCACACACTGGGGAGACCCTTAAATCCTAAACGCGTCTCTCCTTTCAGGGATTTGCAGAAGGCCGGAACGCAGTGGCTGCTGAAGAAGCAGTTTCCAAAGCTGCGCCAGTGAAAAGGGGCCCCAGCTCAGGACAGAGCCTGTGGGGACCCCCGCTGTCCACCTCCAGCCGGTCCAGCCGGGGAAACAGCCCTGATGGGAGGCTGATGTGGAATGAAGAAAAGCAGCATAGCCTATCGCCCTAGGCTGAATAAAAAGGAGGAGCGGAGCCCTGGGACTCCTGACACCACCTCCCATGCACATGCGCACATTCACAGCCACGCTGAGGACTGGGGCCTGAGGCTTGGGACTTGGGGACCAAGGCATCCAGCCGGTCATCTCATGCCACGTACCCCTGTTTATGTCTTTTTCTGAACTCAAAGATCTTTCTTCATCCCTGCACACTTCATGCAATTCAGTTCAGCATATCACATTTCGGACCCCATTTCCCACCTTTTCTTTTCTCCTGAAACGCTTCTTCTGTGCAGTCTGGAATTCATGATCAGCCATCAACAAAAGCCCTGTCCCCTTCGCCTGTTCTCTGAACGCTCTCTTCTTGTTCAAAGTTGCTTTTCTGAGGACAGTGCTTCTCCTGTGGCTCCTATAGTAGAGCCCACTCCCTTCCCACCCCAGTCCATTGATCCATTCCCCCGTTCCCAGTCCATCAACCCCTCACACCCTCTTTTCCCAACTTAAGTTCATGAGCCAATTATTATAATTACTTCCAAATGTACATCTCAAGCCGGGACTTCTCTTCGGAGCTAGAATCAGTTGCCTACTTGACATCTCCACCTGGATGTCTAATGGGCTTCTCAAACGCTAGCTGGTCCAAAATCAAGCTTGTGTTCTTTCCCATCTTGCAGTCTCCTCTGTGTTAGTGAATGGTCGCCTTTTCTTCTAATTGCTCAGGTCAAAGCACTTGTTGCATCTTTAGGACTCTCCTCACCCCTCAATATTGCAACTTATTGGAGATATTCTAGTGAATGCAATATAACATTGTGTGTGTGTTAAAGTTATGCAGCATGACGATTTGATGCATGTGCAGATTGTGAAATGATTGCCACCATAATGTTAGTAAACACATCTATCACCTCACACAGATACCATTTTTCTGCGTGTGTAATGAGAATGTTTAATATTTACTCTCTTAGCAACTTTCGAGTGTACAATAAATACAATGTTGTTAACATAACACCATGCTGTACATTAGGTTTCCAGAAATTAATTCATCTTATAACTAGAAGTTTGTATCCTTTGACTGCCTCCCTCCATTTCCCCCAAGTCTCACACCTGGCAACCACCAGCCTAATCAGCCTACTCTCTATTTCTATGAGTTTTTTTTTTTTTGTGTTTTTTTTTTTGTGTGTGTGTATGTTTTTTGTTTTGTTTTCAGATTCCACATACAAGTGAGGTCATATAGTATTTGTCTTTGTCTGACTTAACTTCATTTAGCATAATGTCCTCAAGTTCTATCCATGTTGTTGAAATGGCAGGACTTCTTTCTTTCTCATGGCTCAATAAAATCCCATCGTGTATATGATAAAACCATACGATTAAAAAAAAAAATCTCATTTGTCCATGAACACTTAGGTTATTTCCATGACTTGGCTATCTATATCTATATAGCGTGTTTCCCTGAAAATAAGACATCTTCAGAAAATAAGACCTATTTACAGGTTTCCTTCTGAGTGAAATATAAGGCACCTCCCGAAAATAAGGCCTCCCCACTCCAGGCTAAACATGAGAGATTTGGTCCACTGATTCTGAAGAAATGAAGTTACAAGAAATTCACCAGGAAATTCAGGAATTGGATTGTTATGATGATGTTCCAGAAGATGATGACATGATTGTCATTGAATAAATGAGTAAATTCTTGATACTGTAGGATTCACAGTTTGTCTGGTGTGTGTTGACAACTACCATACTACTGTACCATATACAGGTAATAAATCTCCTTTATTTTCATTTAACAATAAATGTGTACCATATCCTTCTTCATGGAAAAATAAGACATCCCCTGAAAATAAGACCTAGCGCATCTTTGGGAACAAAAAATTAATATAAGACATTCTTATTTTCAGGGAAACAGGGTATATATAAAAGCCTAAGTGACCATTTGACTGGTAGCTATGACGCACACTGACCACTGGGAGGCAGATGCTCAACACACGGGCATGGGAACATGAAACAGATTGATGACTCTCAGAGGGAAGGTGAGAGAAGAAACGGGGGGGGGGGGGGGAAAGAGGGGGAAAGAGATTAACCAAAGATCTTACATACATATTAGAGGCCTAGTGCATAAATTTTTGTACCAGTGGGTCCCTTGGCTTGGCCTGCGGGGATCGGGCCAAAACCCACAGTCAGACATCCCCCAAGGGGTCCCGGATTGCGAGAGAGCGCAGGCCAGGCCGAAAGACGCCACTGGTGCGCGGATCCTTGTACCAGGCCTCTAGTTGTGAATGATGCTTCAATGAACAGGGGAGCACAGATATCTCTTCAAGGCAGTGATTTCACTTCCTTCGGAGATGTGCCCAGAGTGGGACTGCTGGAACATATGGTAGTTCTGTTTTTAATTTCTTGAAACTCCATACTGTTTCTTATAGTGGCTGTACCAAGTCACATACCACCAATAGTGCACAACGGTTCCTTTTTCTCCACATCCTCATCTACACTTCTCTCTTGCTTTCTTGGTGACAACGATTCTAACAGTTGTGAGGTGTTATCTCATTGTGGTTTTGATTTTCATTTTCCTGATGATTAGTGATGTTGAGTATATTTTCATGTACCAGTTGTCCATTTGTATGTCTTCTTTGGAAAAATATCTAGTGAAGTTCTTTAGGTCTTTTCTTTCTTTCAGATCTTATCAACTGTCAACGAATCCTGCTGGCTCTACTTTAAAACTATTCTTGGTTTGACCACATTGCACCCTCACATCCTGGTCCGGCCACCATTCATCTCTTACCTGGATTCTGCAGCAGCCTCCTAATTATCATTACTATTTTTAAAAATATTTTTTATTGATTTTTTACAGAGAGGAAGGGAGAGGGATAGAGAGTTAGAAACATTAATTATCTTCCTCCTGCACACTCCCTACTGGGTATGTGCCTGCAACCAAGGTACATGCCCTTGACCGGAATCGAACCTGGGACCCTTCAGTCCAAAGCCCGATGCTCTATCCACTGAGCCAAACTGGTTAGGGCTTAATTATTATTTCTTTCTCTCCTTCAGAATATCTCCTGCACAGCAGCCAGAGTGACCCTGCTAAAACTAAGACATACCAGGTCATCCCTCAGCTTGAAACCCTCTATGACATCACACAGAGAAAAGCCAAGTCCTACAACCTATCTGGTCTGTATTCCGGCTCAGTCTCTGACCTCTTCTCCTGCTCTCCCTCCTGCATCCTGCTTCAGCCACAGTGGCCTTTGAGCTCTTCCTCAAGGTACCAGGAATGGGCTTCTACCTCAGGATTTTGCACTTGCCGTTCCTTCCTATGTTCAGACCATCTCAAAGGGGCCCTGCCCTAGCCCGCCCCTCTAAGCCCCATTCCAGACCCCACTATCCCCTTTTCCTATTTTTATCACTGCCCAACACACTAATCTTTTATACACTGTGATTGCTTTATCTTATCCTATTTGTTGTCTGCTTCCTTCTACTCCAAGAAGGGATAGACTTTTGTCTCTGCTGTTCACTGCTGAGTTCCCACTGCCCCAAACAGGGCCTGGCACACAGCCTTTAATAATGTGAATACTGCAGGCTTTGGGGTGGATCGTTGGAGAGAGCACAGAGGAAGAAAGTGGGATTGGAATGCAGATGTGATGGAACTGGGCTCTGGAGGAAGAGAAGATGTGGGAGGAAAAAAGCTCCTTGGGAACAGTCTGCCTTATCGTCATCAAATTTCCACAGTATCAGGCACACAGCTATGCCTCCAGCAGCCACTGGAAATACACTGAACTAATGGACACACCTTCTTCATATTGGAGAATCTGAAAAAGGGTTAAGGCAAAACCAATCTGATTTTTTTTTTTTTTTTTTCAAAATCCTCCTATCACCTCAGATCGTCTCAAAGTTTGTCAACAGGCTGTCCACTTGCTCAGGTAACTTTTTCTTTGCTATTTAAATAAAAACACCTCAAGTCTCACCGGCCAAAAGCTATGGGATGTCTAGTGACCTCCACAAAGGATCTCAGTGAATCCCTGGGGCCTGTGCTCTCTGAGCTCCCTCTCACTAACTCCCCAGGCCTGCTAAGTCTCCATT